ATGTCCTCTCTAACTACATCCATTTATCTCCTCTTTGTCTTTTTCCTGGCAGATGCATTTCTAACATCCTTCTACCAATATACCACTGTCCCTCCTGGACATGTCCAAACCATCTCAGTCTGGTCACTCTAACTTTATCTCCCAGTTGTTCAACCTGTGCTGTACCTCTGATGACCTCATTCCTAATCTTATCCATCCTCATCACTCCTAAGAGAACCTCAACATCTTCATTTCTGCCACTTCCAGTTCTGTCTCATCTTTTTGTTGTTGTCTCTGTTTCCAGTCCATACAACATAGCTGGTATCACCACTGTCTTGTAAACATTTCCTTTGACCTTTTCTTTTCAGAGATGTCCAGACTTCACCCTCACTAATCTTTCCCACTTTCTGGTCCACAGTTTCTATGACCTCTACTCTTCTTTCTCTTTCATTCTCTTCATTCATTAGCTCCTCAAAGTACTCCTTCAGTCTTCCCATCATCACACTCTCCTCACTTGTTAAAACATTACATTTCTATCTTTAACAAGCCCAATCTGCTGCACATCCTTTCCAGCCTGATCCCATCACCAATCAGTACAAGTCCTTCGCACCCTCTTTAGTGTCCAGCCTGTCATACAACTCATCATACACCTTCTGCTTTGCTTTTGCCACCTCCCTCTATGGTTCTTTCCACACCATAGTAAAACAGTTTAAACCCTGTTCCAATACTGCAAGCCTTGCCCTTGATCTCTTGGACACATAAAACATCTACCTTCCTTCTCTGCATCATGTCAGCCAGCTCTCTACATTTGCCTGTCATTGTCCCCACAGAGTTGCCACCCTCAGTCCTACATTCTTGACTTTCCTCTTCTCCCTCTGTCTCCTGATGTTTGAAGTGATACACTGGATTGTGCTCCTTAGTGGCTTGTTTATGAGTTTTTATAGAACATTACTGGTATATTTTATTGTTAGGATTTAGAGAGTTAGAACTTCTTCCTTCTCTATTTTGAACAAAATGCTGAGATCCCTTGTTGGGACTATAGTGTCTAATTTATATTTCTGCATTTACACAAATGATTTCCTCATTTTTCTTTATCTGTAATTTTTCTTCTGTATACTTTGTGCAATTTTAGCCACTTGTGTATCAAAATTCTCAGCTCGTTCAAGAGATGGAAGCTTGTGTTTTATGTAACTTTTACACTTTTTGAATTTAGTTATTATTTAAAGACACTTATTCTACAAATAGAAATACATTGAGATCTCTACAAGTCCTTTAAAAACATTGATCTAAATATTCTTCAGCATACAGGCTCTATTTTTATTTTATTTTTGTGCAGTTTTGGCTATTAGCTACCCCCCCCCCCCCCCCCAGCTATCATTTTACTGCATTTAGCCAGCTTTTGACTATATTAAGTTTTTGTTACTTTTCTTTTTCTACTTAGCAACTCAGCCTTTTTTCTACTTCCTTTAGCTGACTTTAGGTAGAAAAAGGGGGAGTGGTGGAGCTGCAGTCAGTGACAGCTAGCCTGTGACTGGGATGTTACTGATCCCCAGGATGGTGCATAAAATTTGGGTGGACAAGGTGAAGCGTCTACATCTGCCTCCACCCTTGCCCCTCTCTGGGCCCTTGAGCAAGGCCTTTAACCCTTTAGCTGCTCTCGGGAAGCTTAGTTGCATCACATGCTCACCAGTGAGATGGGAAATATGCAGAGAATGAATTTCCCCATTGAGGATTAACTAAACAAACATTATTAGCTTTAAGCTTGTCTTTTGCTACTTATAGCTAGCCTTTTGTTGTTTTGATCTGGCATTTTGATACTTTTATCTTTTTATTACCATTCTATTGGTTTTAGCTTTTAGCTAGGCTATTTTTATTTTAAGCCAGCCATTTGCTAGTCGTATAGCAAGCCTTTTGATGCTTTTAGCTAGCGTTTTACTACTTTCAATTTTTCAGCTTGTGTTTTGCTTCTTTTAGTTAGTTTTCAGGGATTTTAAAATAGTTTTCCCCCACTTCTTTTAGCTCTAACAATTCAGTTTTAGCTAAATTTCAGCAGTCATTCTGCTCTCAGTGTTCACACTGCATATTTTGTTGACAAAGTTAATTTTGTAGATTTATCCATCCATTATCTTTACCCCCTTCTTCCTTTTTGGGTCACGGGGGTCACTGGTGCCTACAGTATATCTAGCTGTCACTGTGCGAGAGGTGGGGGACAACCTGGACTGGTCTCCAGTCTGTCACAGGGACACACCGAGACAAACAAGACAACCATTCACTTTCTCTCACACCTAAGAACAATTTAGAGTTACCAGTCAGTCTAACATGCATGTTTTTGGTCTGTGGGAGGAAACCAGAGTACCTGGAGAAAACCCAAACATGCACGGAGAGAACATGCAAACTCCACCCAGAAAGGCTCGCTGGCCAGGATTTGATCCGCGACCTTCTCGCTGAGAGGTAGCAGCTCTACCTGCTGCACCACCGTGCCGCCCTAATTTATTCATTTGATTCTTAATATTGTTTACTTTTTGTTTGTTTTCTTCTGTTTCTAGCATGTTTGAAACTAATGAGGTGTGTCAGTTTTGTGTGCATGCTGGTGAGATAACAGGTGAGGATGATGATTCAAAGAAAGAGACGGATGACGTCAACAGAGGAGGGTTATAAAGCATCCGGAGCTGGTCAGTGTGTCCTAAAGTTCAGAGCAGATGGAAACGCGAGCTCATGACTCACTTCCTGAACTGGAAACGGAGCGATGCCTCCTGTAGAGAAGGAAGCAAACACTCCCTCCAGGTCGTCACACACCGCCGCCGCTGCTGGCCGGTGCATCATGTCTGGCTGACACCCAGCTTCAGATATGGCCTACACGCTCAGATAGTGGCAAAATAATTCAAACCCAAGCACATCCATTAAAAGATAAGTCCAGCGAGGGATAAGAGACGCCTGTTTGAACTTTACACACTCTCTCACACACCTCCTGTGTTTATTTTGCTGTTAGTGTCCTGCGGGGCTGCTGCTCAGAACACGCCTCGCCCTCTGCCTTTGTGTCTTCAGGGGCCCTGTGATATCACAGCTCTCCACAGAGCCGTGAGAGGTGCTCAGAAGGGAGCTTTCATTTCAGCCCAGAGGCTCTGTGAACAGGTTGGGTGTCTTTTACACCCACTGGCCCACCCCCACCTCCTTTGGTTGCTTTGTCACTGTTGTCATGAGCGCTGGTGCCAGCCTGGGAGGAATCCCTGGAATCGTTTTTCGGCTGACCTGGCTGGTGACACCGTTCCAACAGGCGCCCCACTTCTTTATCTTCACGAGTGAGTTTCCCTAACAGAGTCAAAGAAAAACATTTATTTAAAATTAAAGGCCTGGCATTCAGTGGAGGAATGCACGTCACCCGCTGCCTTTTATAAGGTTTTAATCTTGAGTCATCTTGTGTGGCTGGATTATAGCGTTGTGGCTGTTTAGATCAAATAAGTTTACACATCTTCTGCTCAGAGTATGTGTTGTGAATGACTCTCAGCTACCACCCCTTCAGAGTTTAGCCAATCAAAGGGCTTAAAGCCATTTTTGTGTAAGCCCATGTTGATTACCTGCGGTGGCCATTTTGAATTGGGCTGGGGCAAAAGGATTTTTTTTTTTTTGTCTTTATTGAAAAAAACAAAAACAAATATAAAAGGTGATATAACATGGCAAATAACAAGAAAAACATGTTCACAGTTGATGTGACAAAAAAAAAAAAAACTAAGCAGAAATTATGAATAGAAAAATAATTAACAAAGAAAATGAACAATTTGAGGAAACAGCAAAATAAAAAAAAATGTTACAAATGCAAGAGGAGTTTCAAGTCTTAAAATAAGTTATTAATATACTGGTATAAGGATTGGGCTTTTGGAAGTTTTGCAGCGTTTAAGCACTTTCTTAATAAAATTATTTCATTTAAAAATATGTTTCAGGAAACGGCATTTATGGATAAAAAATTTAGCCATAAGGATTAAGTTGTTATTACCGTAATTTAAAACTTCATTCCCTGTTATCCTGATGCATGCTCAATAATCCAGGTAGAAAAATCCAAAAAAGTTCAATCTGGTCCTCTGGACATTTAAAAAAACAAAAAACAACACAAAGCAAAAAATATAGAAACGTTTCGTCTCTCATCCGAGAGACTTCCTCAGTCTGAGGTGCTGTATTCAGCTCAGTCTCTTAAATAGCACCTTCTCAGAGTGGATCAACCAGTTTGCTGCTGACAACCAAAACCAGCTGATTCCCTGTTAGTAGACCGAATGTAATTATGCAACATGTTAATTAGTTGTAGATGGACATGATAACTTCTGAGCGTTTCAAGAAAATCCATTCACATAGGATATTTCGCTAACAGCCATGGTTGACTTCAATAGTTAATGAAAAAGGTGTTTTGCCCAGGACATCCTTGTAAAATAGATTAATAATCTCAATGGATTTCTTTCCTGGTAAAATGAAGGTTTAAATAAAACATACAATAATAATCTCACATGATCAATTCTCATGTGCATGTTTGGGTTGACTCTCAACTACTGCCATGCCAAATTTGAGCACAATTTCTGTCAAACTGAGTTATAGCTATTTTTGTGTTTGCTAAGGTGGATTGGCTGTGGCGGCCATCTTGAATCAGTGTGGCTCCAAAAAGTAATCAGTTATAGATGTAGCATCAATTGATTAATTTCAGAAGGGTTGATTAAAATCCATCCAGAGGTTTGTGAGATATTTTGCTAACAGACACTAAAGCACACACACAGGCAAAAAAAAAAAAAAAAAAAAAAAAAAAAAAAAAAAATCGCGCGCACACTTTTCACCTTTCGGCCCCCATGACTGAGGCCAAGGAGAAAACAAAAACATCTTCAGAGACTCCAGCTGGCAGCGTGGGGAACCAAAGTCCTGTCTCGGTGAGCGTGTTAAAGTCCACCAGCACTGACAGGGTTAATCACACCCATATGGTGTAGGAGAGGTTCGGTCCAAAGCTGCTGTGCGCCAACAGGAGAGGGGAGGCTGGGTGGGGGCAGAACAGAAGGGAGAGGACAGCAGGACAGATCAGTCTCCCAACACCTGCACCTGGTCTCTTGGTTCTCATTCAGGTCCAAACCGAAAGGTTCCGAGGACCAACATCCAGACCTCATCCCGCGGATGAACGTCCGGATTTAAACTTTTACAGACAGCTTTTGGGAATTTGATTCTTTTTTGTTTCCCCCAGGAATGTGTCTAGTTAAAAGCAACTGATCAGACTTTTTTTTTTTTTAATCTCAGAGGATTTTTTTTTTTTGTAAACCTATTGGATTATTATTATTATCATTCGTTCCTGCGTAAAAAGCGCAAAGAGGGTCCGACTCCGAGGTGCCAAACGCGGGGAATGCAGCAGTAATCCCGCAAGTTTGAGGCTTTGTTTCTTCTTCTCAGAGACACAGCAGCAGCAAGAGAAAAGCAGAAGTCAGAGGTAGGACATTTACCTCCCGCCTGGTTTAACTTTTAACTTTGGTTACCGAGTGGTGTTTAATCTGACAGGAAGAGACAGACAGAGAGGGGGCGCGCATTTGCTCCACTCCTATTTCTGGATGTTGAGTTCACAGGTAAGTGCGCACTCCCCCGCTTCAAAAAGCCCGAATAAAATCCTGTAATTATTTAAAAGGAACCCGTTTATTACCACAGCAGAACTTTAATCTGTCCTGGAGCTCCCACCCAGCTCAGAAACCCAGAGTCCTGCTGTACAAACACACCAGTCTGACCACCAGCCCGGGCTCAGCCCAGTGCTGGATTATTACAACCAGGAGCAACACTAGCACAGTAAACCGTGAGAATTAATTTCAGTTTATGTATACAGCACCAAGTCACAACAAAAGTTGCTGCAGGGCACTGAACAGAAACATTCACATACATAAAAAAGCCAATTAGTAAAATGTCCTGATGCATGCGCAATAATCCAGGTATAAAAATCTAACGAGCTTAAATCAGGTCTAAGGAAGCTGGAAGTTTGCTCCACAAGAGAGGAACCTGAAGAAGAATTCGTCCAGAGGACCTGACTTAACCAATCAGTAAAAGTTTTCTATCTAAGGAAGCAGAAGACTTCTTGAATCTTCACTTTGTCACAGTCTCCCATCCTGAGCAAGAACAAAGGAGACAGTGGAAAGGAAAAACTCCCTTTGAACGGGAAGAAACCTCCAGCAGAAGAGGAGGAGCAGCCGTCTGCTGTGACAGGCTGGGTTTGAGAGGACGGGAAGGAGAAACAAACAAACACAGGATGGCAGGTCCAGGTGTATGTTCAGTTATTTATATAGTTTATTTATTTATAAACTTGTTCTATAGGAGGAAAGACAAAAAAAAAACACATGTTGGGATATAAATAATTACAAATACAATCAGGTAGAGCAAGTAAAGACAGCAGCAGAGTGATGAAATGTGATCAGCTTGTCCTCCAGCAGTCTAAGCCTATAGCAGCATAACTAAGGGATAGCTCAGGAAACCCAAGCCAACCCTAACTATAGGATTGATCAAAAATGAAAGACTTAGGCCTAATCTTAAATGTAGACAAAGTGTCAGCCTCACGGACAGAAACTAAAAGTTGATCTGCCCCTATTCTGCTTTTGGAATATCTAGGAACCACAAGTAAACCTGCAGTCTGAGACGTGATCTGTGGTGTAAAACTTTAGAATTACTGAAAGGAAACTCACACATAAAACATGAATTTAAATCTTCTGTTGCGCCAAATCATTTTGATTTTCATACAGACAGTAATGTAAAAAAGAACGGCCGCCCCATTCCATTTCTAGCTTTACCAGCGGGGAAATAAAACTCTTCCCCAGGTTCTACAAATTATTCGCAAACTCACAACAGATTCACCACGGATTAGGAAACACAAAGCCAAAATGAAAATTCTCTGTGTGAAAGTTTGCTTCATGATTTAGTAACTTATAGAGCCTCATTTAGCAGAAATAACTCCACTTTATCAGTCTCAAGGATTTTTGGCCCACTCTTCTTTACAAATCAATTTATTGAGGTTATCAGATGTTTATTTCTGCTCAGCTCTCTTTATGTCCCATCGTTTCAATCAGGTTGAGGGCTGGACTTTGACTGAACCGTTCCTCACCTTGACTCTTTCTTTTTAAGCCATTCTGTTGTAGATTAGCTGCTCTGTTTGGGATCATTGTCTTGCTGCTTCATGACCCAGTTTTGACCTTCAGCTGTTGGACAGATGGCCTCACAATTGTCTTTTTAATCCTTTGGTCTTAGTTCTTAGTCAACTCGGTGACAGCAGGGTTCCCAAGCCTCAAAACATCACCTCTCCACCACTGTGCTGACAGCTGGGTGTGTTTGTACTGTTATACTGCATTTAGTTTGTTTTCATCCATCCATTATCCTTACCCGCTTCTTCCTTATTGTATTTATTTATTGTGAAGCGTGCTGTTGCACATTATGGATAACAACTTCTAGACTGGTCTCATCTGTCCAAACATTGTTGACATTGTTCCAGAGGTCTTCTCTGTTGGATGTAACTGTGCAAACCTAAATCTGCCATGTTCTTAGAGAGAGGAGGTTTTTCTATGCAGCCCTTCCAAACAAACAATACTTGCTCATTTGTTTTAATTGAGCTGCCATGAACTTTAACCTTTAACCTGCTAACTGAGGCCTGTAGAGTCTGAGATCTACTCTTGCGTTTCTGCCGATTTCTTTGATTTGTCTTGGCCTTGGGGATAATTTGCTGGGGCATCCACTCTTGGGAAGACGGTCAGGTGTAACAAATGTGAATAATCTTCTGTCTGTATTCAAGTTTAAGGTTCTTTATTGTCATTTGCATCACATGTGGTACATGAGGTGGAACGAAATTGTGTACACAACAAGGTCCCAGTTACATCCAACAATAGCAAAAATATAAGGAATTAAAAAAAAACTATATACAAGGATCTAAGATATACACTAAACACTAATAATTAAAAATAATATGGTGTATTAAACAGCAGCCTGAACATGAGTTTGTAGTGAGCAGTTGGGTATAAATACAGCAGCATAAAGGCAAGAAATCAGCAGCATGGATAATCAGCAGCACAGATAAGTCACATATCACCAATTAAAGTGACATTACAGTGATTTTTATTTTTTAATTTTTACAGCAATTATCCTGATAAGGAATTCATGAGTCTAACAGCTTCAGGGTAGAAGCTGTTCCTCAGTCTAGTGGTTCTACACTTAATGCTCCACAACCTCCTGCCTGAGGGGAGCGGGGCAAAAAGTGTGTGTGCTGGGTGAGTGGGGTCCTTCATGATGCAGGTGGCTCTCTTCCTGCATCTGGAGGTGTAGATGTCTGTGATGGTGGGGAGACTTGACTCCAACAGACTTCTGTGCAGCCTTCACCACTCTCTGCAGAGCTTTTCTCTCTCCAGCTGTGCAGCCTCCATGTAGATGGGCAGCTGCTTGTCTATGGTCATTGCTGATGTTTTTCCATCGTGGCATTGTGTTAACACACACTTATATGCTCCATAGCAGCAAACTCCTGCTAAGAGGTGCCCACATTGACAATGACCAGTTAATCAATGTATTTGATCAGCAGCTCCTGACTGTTACTGAACTTTTGAAATCCACAGGAAGAGGCAAGAGTAGACTTAGTTTTTCCAGCCACAGCGTTTTAGTTTTGGCTTCCATTTAGTTTAATAAATATTAAGATGATGGACACAGTTTTATACACTTGAGGTTAAATTTGAACATTTTCTTTTTGTTTAATACCCTAATGTGTAAAATCCTAAAATTGAAAGTGTGTGGACTTCCTTTTTGCCTCTGCCTGTTTGTATGTACAGTAAATCCAGACATACCACATGTGCGGCGTTCTTATAGGCATGCAGTTAACATGGTTGTTACATTATTAGTGTTTGTATTTATTAGGTGCTCATTCAGGCTCATTTGTCATCCTTGTGAATATGAATCATTTGCATTGAGTGTAAGAAATCTGAAGGCCGATCAACATTTGAGCAGATTGGTGCGATGAAGCCTATTGAAGGTGCTGCCACTGTGTCCTCTAAACGTTCCCCTCGTGATGCCAGTCCCTTCAGCTTCAGCAGAAGCCTCAGATTTTTCTCAGGAACAGGCTTTTCGAATTATGTGTCACACCCAGATTTTGTGAACTCTCACTCCTTTTTCTTTCTTCATCACCATGAACAACTCTTCCTGAAAACCCCTCTCTTCCAGGCGTTCTGCTCCGACGTCTTCATGAGGAGATGTATGAAAATAAATAAATAACCAGGGGGGAGGGGGGGGGGGGGGGCAGCTTATAGCCCAAAGCAAGGCACACCTTCAGGGAGAAAATTTAATGGATGCTATGGACTCAGCTTTTAGTATTCATAATTTATATGGGATCCTCTCCAGCAAAGTGCAGATGCATAATGAATGCTTGAGTTAAGGGTCTAACAGTTGAGCTAAGTTTCAGAACACCCCCCTGAAAGTGTCAGGGATTGTTTCAGCCAGGGCTACCTGTTTCTTTGAACTGTCACGCCTTTCACTCGTCAGCCTTCTGAGGGCTCATCAACGTGCTTTGTTGAAGCAGTGAGGGAGAGCCGGGGGCAGTCATCGATTGGCACGCTCATTAACAGGTTTCTTTTGGAAACTCGTGGCTGAAATCCACGCACTAGTCAGCGTTGTGTGTTTAAGAATTTGTTCAAGATGAAGGATAGAAGATTTTAATCTCTTCTAATTGTCAGACTCCTTTCAAGAGCACCGATTTACAGTCCCAACACATACCTCGCTACATTTACTCTCTAAATAAATAATAGGGCTGTCATATTTTCCAGGGCAGGTGTGAAGATTTGAACGTTTTCCTCTCCTGCCAAACTATACGTCTCGTCTGGGAAGGCTGCAGGCCAAGCGTCTGATCACGGAGATCAGAGAGACTTTATTCACTCGTCCTTCCTTCTTCTTCTGTCTCCCTTTTTCTCATGGGGCACTCTATAATAACGCTCGTTCCTCTTTCTTCTTTTGTCCAGATTTAGATCTCTGTGGGCTACCTGCATGACTGTTACCATGACAGCACCAGGAGCCCGACTCCTCCTGTTGGCCCTCTGTGTTTACAGAGGCTTGGGCTTGCAGCAGTTTGCACCGCGGGTTCGCCTCTCCTTCAAAGGTGAGTTCACAAAGACCAGTCCTCCTCTTGGGGTTTATTTTAATAGTTTATGAAGTGAAATAATTATTTGATCTCCTGCTGATTTTGTGTGTTTATTCGTTTTAACTTGAAGCTTCAGCTCAAAACTTTAGCCTAAATTTATTTTAGCCACTTTTTGTTGCCTTGGTAATAGGTTTTAGGTTATTGTCATGCTCAAAGTCCACTCTTAAGGGTTCTGGCTGATGCATCAACATATACTATAATAATATACCTTATGTGGAGTACCAGGAGTTGAAGCTGGAAGAGGACCAGTGTCTCTATAGGCTGGTCTCACTACAAGTTTGAAGTCCTGCTCCCTCTATGTAAACAAATGGGACTTTGTCCTTTGTAAAATCATTCTTGTTGTTTCATGTAGATTCAGTTGTTGGTTCACTTTTTGAACAGCCATCCATCCATTATCTTTACCTGCTTCTTCCATTCCGGGTCGCAGTGGTGTGTGGTGCCCATGTCCAGCAGTCACTGTGCGAGAAGCGGGGGACACATGGACAGGTCTCCAGTCCACCACAGGGACACAGAGACAAACAACCATTCACTCTCTCACTCACACCTAGAGACAATTTAGAGTTACCAATCAGCCTAACATGTATGTTTTTGGTCTGTGGGAGGAAACATGAGTACCTGGAGAAAAACCACGCATGGAGAGAACATGCATGTTTAGCTGAATTTAGGTATTTCATGCTTAAAAGAAATGTCATGTAACACCAGGGTTGTGCTGGAGGATAAGAGGGCCTTAAAGAGTCAGAGTCAGAGATTCTTTATTGTCGTTCGCACCACATGTACCACATGTGGTGCGAACGAAACTATGCACACGGGGTCCCAGTTACATCCAACAAGAAAAATGTAAAAGAAAAACAATGATAACATCTAAGATATGAACTAAGAAAAACCAACTAAAAATACAATAAGCACTAATAACATAAAAACATTACGTCGAAAATCAGCACGAACATGAGCATGAGTCTGTGTGAGCAGATGGGCACGCATGAACACATCAACATGAAACAGATCAGCAGCAACATTGAAACAGATCAGCAGCAACATGATGTGATTTTTCAGGGATTATTCTGGTTAGACATTCATGAGTCTTAACAGCTTCAGGGTAGAAGCTGTTCCTCAGTCTAGTGGTTCTAAACTTAATGCTCCTTAACCTCCTTCCTGAGGGGAGTGGAGCAAAAAATGTGTGTGCTGGGTGAGTGGGGTCCTTCATGATGCAGGTGGCTCTCTTCCAGCATCTGGAGGTGTAGATGTCTGTGATGGTGGGGAGGCTGACTCTAACAGTCTTCTGTGCAGCTTTCACCACTCTCTGCAAAGCTTTTCTTTCTGCAGCTGTGCAGCCTCACATTGCGAGTACACACACTCTGTTCCCAGAAGTACAACATGGCAGCTTCCATAAACCAAGTCAACAAGAAAAGGTTGGGACATCTGGTCTAGTATTATATGCCGATGGCTGAAGGATGTAGGTTCTTGTCCAAGATTTTATGGTACACGGTGCGGTCCATTGGTCCTTCAGTGAAGTCATCCTATACCCTTTGCAGAAAAACAGCCCCAAATCATAATGTTTCCACCTGCGTGCTTCACTATGGGGATGGTGTTCTTTGAGTCAGACTCAGCAATTCGTTTCCTCCAAACGTGGTGATTCAAGCTGATGCCAAAGCCCTCAACTTTAAACTAATCTGGTGTGTTATCAATTATGTTTTTGTTGGCTTTTGTCCCACCGGCTTTCAGACACAAACAAGCTCCTCCTTCAGGGGTGTCAAACTCAATTACAAAAGGGGGGCAAAATTAAAACCTATTTCAACCTAAGGGTCAATTTCAGAATCTACATGAACTCAAATCAGATACCTGACATCTTTTCTTGGTCACAGGTTCCTCAACAAGAGTTTGATTGGTCTCATTTGACGTTCTCTGTTGTGCTTTCAACATCATAATCAAAGATTACTGAAAACATTCAAGAGATAGAAATATTTGATGTTTCACATATCATCTTGAGGTCCAGATAAGATGTCAATGAGGGCCACATTTGGCCCCCGGGCCTTGAGTTTGTGGCTGATCCCCCCCACCTTTTTCATGATCAACCTCTTTTAGTTTATATTCAAGTACAAGTTCAAGTAGGTTTTATTATCATTCACATCACATGTGGTACATGAGGTGGAACAAAATGGTGTACACAGGTTCTCAGTTACATCCCACAATAGCAAAAATATGAATAACTAAGAAATACACTACACACTTAATAGTGCAACAATACGCTGAACAACAGCAGCACGAACATGAGTCTGTGTGAGCAGATGAGTATGCAATGGATACAGCAGCATGAAATAATCAGCAGCATGGATAATCAGCAACACATTTCACCCATCAAAGTGACCATCAATCAAATTCTGTTTCCATTAAACTGGAACTACCATACCATTTGAGAATGTTCGTCCATTAAACTGGAACTACCATACCATTTGAGAATGTTCGTTTCTTTTCTTTTCCCATTGTATGTGCAGCTTGTTTATCGAATAAGTCCTTGGCGTGCACACGAACTCCTTCATCCACGCCTGCACTTTTGCTTCCTTTTCATGCATATGTAAAGAAGGCATTTCCTGCCACATGTCAACCAGAGCGACAGTGAAAACAAAAGGTGGATATTGCGTGTGTTGAGTTACGGGTTGTGCCCTTCGACAAAACGTTTTGTCCACATCCTGAAGTCCACAGATACCATGGTCCGACCTGTCAGTCCTTTGTTTTGACATTCTGACACATGAAGGAACTGTCTGAAATTCAATCACAAGAGCAAATTGGTACTGTCTCTGAGGGCTAAAGCCTAGATGATGGTAAAGCATTTATTTTTGCTGGTATTTAGGAATTTCCCGTGTCTACACAAACATGTGGATGGCAGCTTTTATCAAAACAATTCAAGATGATTGCAGTCATTTCCACAGCTCTGCCGTGGTGTCACTCCAACTTGTGAACGGGCACACTTGCAAGAACACGTGCACAACACCTCGGCTAAGAACACGAAGGTGAAAATTGAAAGGCATGGGTTGGATTTATAACATTCTTGGATGCTTTCGTGTGCAGCTGAGTCGGGGAGTTTTGGGTGCAGGTCAGGTCTCGACAGCGTTCGGCGTCTTATCTTGTTCGAGTGCAGTGATTCGGCGATAAACATTTATGATTTTTGTACACATTAGAAGCCATCTGAAGCAGATCAGAGCTCATCGGGAGATCTGTGGCTGATAAACGCTTGCTGTGTACGTGCCGCACTGTTTTCAATTTGTCTGCTCTCGTGAGAGTGACAGCAGATGTCTACATGTCGTAGAGAGACAGTTCCATTTGAGGTTTAAGAGGGTAATTGCTGTGCACTTTTATGACCTTCAACACTAACCCTCCCCTGGTAAACAGCTTACCAGTGGAGCAAGGTGAAAAAATTTAGACCAATTACACAAGTTTGGTCTTGAGCGTTTCCCTTCTGAGTTTGAGGCATTCACATCTGTACAGAGCTCCATAACACAGACTCATAGCTTCTCCAGAGGTTTTAGATCATCTCAGGTTTTACAGAACTCAGCCACCCTTCCCCCGTCTCAATCCTGAAGAAAAGGAGAGAAGTTGGATTTAGTCCCCAACTGTTTTCTGCCACTCCAAGGATTTATTGTTCATTGTTTGTGACAGCGAGTCTTTGTTCCTTGAGGCGCCTGCGGAGGAGGTTTCATGGCAGCTCGAGGACATGTGATTCTTCTGAACGCCTGAGAGCCAAGCTATAGGTGACGCTCTGGGGGGCGTGCAGAGGACAGGGATCTCCTACGCAGGAAGTTGAGTCAATTAAACACATCAGAAAGATCAGGGGTCGTTTGAATTAGTCTGCATTGCTAGAAAGCAAAGTGTAACTGTGTAACTGTGTAACCGAAGCCGTGTTGTAGAATCTCATACCCTCACAGCGCTGTCACCAGTTTGTTCATACGAGAGCTGGAGCTGAGACTAAGTGGCGGGAGCCATTAGTGACAATATGTTGTCAGGCTGTAACATGAGAGCTCGTGGTGACCTGGCAGCAGCTCTGTACTGGACTTTCATGTTTCCGTATAGTGTCAGAATGTTGTCAGAGCAGAAGCGTTTGCTGAATGTTTACCAGATGATGGCAGGACATTGTTTGCTATTTTTGGTGTATGGAGACATGTATAAGGGGTGCGGCGTTTCTACATTTAGTCTGTTCAGTGAATCCACTTTGGCTCCGTGGAGATTGGCCAGTGGGGTCTTGTTTTCCTGTGTTTACCTCTCAGGAACAGAAGCGGACCCTGCCTCACCTCTGAGCCTCCATCCCGCCTTGACCGGAGATCCGATTGCACAGCTTATTTTAGTGACACCTTGACTGCATCCTGTTAGCGCTGCCCTCAAAAGGAAGATGGAAGGCGCTTTGATGTAAATAAAGATTGCGCTTCCTGTTGAATCCCTGTAAGCCTGCTTCTGAGGGTCTCTGGGAACATTTGTCATTGTTTAAGCGTGCTGTCTTTAACATGCCTCAGTGTGCGTATATGGTGGCCAATATCTTGGACATACCACAGATTAAGTTTTGGGTTTTGGGCCTGAGCATTTTAGGAATACATTTTTCAGTCTTTCGTCCTCCTTGGATGACATTAATCTGTCCTCCAGCTCTAATGTTAAAACTCTTGGTGTTATTTTTGATCAGGACATGTATTTTATCTCCGACATTAAAAACGTTACTAGAACCGCCTTCTTCCACCTGCGTAATATCACTAAAATTAGAAACATCTTATCTAAAACTGATGCAGAAAAACTGGTTCATGCATTTGTCACGTCTAGACTGGACTATTGCAATGGTTTATAATCTGGGTGTCCAAATACTTGTTTGAAAGGTCTTCATTTGATCCAAAATGCTGCTGCCAGAGTCTTAACTATAGAATTTATCAAAAAATAAAGTCTTAAGCCTAGTCTTAAAACTGGACAATGTGTCAGCCTCATGGACAGAAACTGGAAGTTGTTTCCACAAGAGAGGAGCCTGATAACTGAAAGATCTTCCTCCCATTCTGCTTATGGAAACTGCAACCGCAAGTAAGCCAGCAGTCTGAGAGTGAAATGCTGTGTTAGGAAAATGTGGAACAAAAAGATCTCAAATATAAGATGGAGCTAGGTTGTTGAGAGCTTTGTAGGTCAGAAGTAAGATTTTGAATTTAATTCTGGATTGGACAGGAAGCCAGTGGAGAGAAGTTTAAACTGGAGAGATATGATCTCTCCCACTAACTATAGTTAAGGTTGGCTTGTTATGCTGCTAGCTCAGACCACTAGAGGACAAATTGAACTCATTTCCTTAAATGAATTAAAAAAATTCCTTCCTGTTCCTACCGGTTGAAGCAGATGGCCGCTTGTCCCGAGCCTGGTTCTTCTACAGGTTTCTTCTTCATGAGGGAGTTTTTCCTCTCCACTGTCTCCTTCATGCTTGCTCAAGTTAAACTCAAAGCAGTCAGCTCCTCAGATAATTAATGATATTTACTTACTTCTTATGTATGTGAATGTTTCTGTTCAGTGCCCTGAGATGACTTCTGTTGTGACTTGGTGTTATATAAATAAACTGAATTGAATTGAATTGACATGTATGTTGGAACCAGTGCAATGAATTGCTGGAAAAGTTTGACATGAGGCCATGTGTCTTACAGCAGCTCAAAAAGGTTAAATCAAGGCTTTCAGGAGTACACTAACAAAAAAAAAATACAAAAGCACGAGAAACATTTTCCACTGCAGCATGTCTTAACAGGTTACGCTCTGCTGAACACAAACGATCTGAAGAATTAGCGGTGAGTTCCACTGACCGCGTTTCTTAAGAGTCCTGCCTCTTCGCCCAACTCCACGGGGCATGCAGCAGCTTCAACTCAATCAGACACCAGCGCTCATAAAATATTGAGATCTTAAAAGCAAATATGCTTCTTAACGCGCTCCACGTTGAGCTATATTTAATAAGTGACACATTTTTGCTCCCCCCCCAAAAAAAAGTTGTGAAAAGCGCGCTGTTTCAGAGACCACGAGTTCATCCAAGTCAGCAATAAAACATGTCAAAGGCACAAAGGGAATAATAGTTTTCATAGAGGTAGTGTTTGTTCTGCTGCTGCTGCTTTTCCAAAAGCTCCAGATGTTCTTTTCAACAAAGCTGTAATATTTTCCACACAGAACTCATGGACACAAAAGCAGCCCGGCCCTTCAGTTTCTCCTTCAACACCAGCGACTACCGCATCCTCCTGATGGATCAGGATCAGGGCCGCCTGTACCTGGGCAGCCGGGAGTACCTGGTGGCTCTGGACATGCACAACGTCAACAAGGAGCCACTCATAGTGCGTACAAACCAGGAGTTTTATATTTAAATCCAGTGTGCTGTTCGGTACGCAGGGTTAAACCTTCAACTGCAACAATCTATCACTGTTGACTGTTTTGGGGTTTTCTCTAATGCAGATCCACTGGCCAGCCTCTGCCAAGAGAAAGGGAGAATGTCAGATGACAGGAAAGGGTAAACAGGTGCGATCTTGTGTTTACATCCTCTTTATTAAAAATAAAAATCATCTTTCATAATGGGATATTGATGTTTAGATTGTGTTTGTTGGTCCAGGGTGAGTGTGCCAACTTTGTGCGTTTGATTGAGCCGTGGAACCGCACCCATCTCTACACCTGTGGAACGGGGGCGTATCAACCCATCTGCACGTTCGTCAACCGAGGCTGGAGGGCGGAGGTGAACCAGACATTTTCAGTTCCCCTGAGTGGTATTTACAGCAAATCGCCCTCCAGCAGTATAGACCAGGAAAGCTTTGCCCTGCTAAATATTTCAGGACTGCAAACTGGGACACTGATTTGTTTATGATTTTTCCTTTTTTTGCTCCCTTGTTTCATCTGAACAGGCTATTTTTATGCATACTCTGTGTCTGATCTGCCTCTGCAGGACTACTTGTTTAGACTGGTCTCTGGGTTTGTGGATTCAGGGAAGGGAAAGTGTTCCTATGATCCCAAACAGGAAAACGTTGCAGTTCTGATCAGTAAGACCTGCCAAAAAACACTCACTCAGGTGAACTTTGACCTACAGAGGCACCAATTGTAACCTCCACTCTGTAACTCCTCGCCTCTACAGATGATAACCTGTATGCAGGTGTACATATTGACTTCATGAGCACAGATGCTGCTCTGTTCAGGACCATGGGAGGGAGGCCAGCCATCAGGACGGAGCAGTATGACTCCAGGTGGCTGAACGGTGAGTCAGCGTGGGTGTGAAGAGTTAAACGCTGATGATTGCAGGTTATGAATCCTCTCATTTTATTTGACAACCGCTTGTTTCAATCCTCTCTCTGCTTATCTGCTTTTATCCTCCAGAGCCTGTGTTTATTCAGATCCAGCAGATCCCTGACAGTGCAGAAAAGAACGATGACAAACTTTACTTCTTCTTCCGTGAGAAGAGTTTAGAAACTCCTGGTGGGGCGAGCCCCACGGTTTTTGCCAGGGTGGGACGAGTGTGTCTGGTGAGCTGCATCCAGCTGTGCATGAAATTATAAGGAAATCAGAAACATCCACTCATCATCATGGGCATGAAAGTCTTTAATCTGAGGCTTTAATTATTTTTTTAAATCTTCTTTTTCCATGATGTAATAATTGTACAAAATGCCTTTTTAAAAACAACAGGCTTGAGTTTTTTGTGAATTTTATGATGATTTTATGTTAATTTATTTGGATTATTATTATTTTTTCACATTCACATATATAGTTAAAATTTTACAGGCTTAAATACATCCCCACTAGTTATTGGATAAGTGTTCGTTAAAAAGTTGCACCTCGATCAAGAGCTTTATATATCCTATATTCTGATATACAGTATATCTTTATATATCCTATATTCTGATATATCTTTATATATCCATCATCAGGCTGCTGACAGCTCTGGCTGGATGTTTGACTGCTCTTCTTGGTAAAACTGGTAGTTCATTGAATTAGTTGGGTTTCTGTTTTAAGTGGCTTTAAAGCTTTGTCTTATAATTTTCTTTAAGATTCAGGTCAGGAAGCCATTTCAGAAGCTTAATGTCAACCCAGTTTATCTCATCTGAAACCAGTTTTGATGTATTTTTGGTATTATTGTCCTGTTTGAACATCATTGTGTCCAGCTGTTGATTTAAGGTGAAGTTGAAGAATTTGTAGGTAGTCCTCCTTTGTTTTTCCATCCACTTGGTCCAGTGCACCAGTAACACAACATGATGCTACCATCACCATGCTCAACAGCTGATAGAGTTCTAAGGCTTGAATGCCTCAACTCAACTCCTCTAAACATCCTTCTTGTTTTGTTGCCAAATATACACCTCAACCTTTGTCTGTCTGACCATAAAACCTTTCTCCAGAAGATGTTTGGTTTGTCCATGACAGCAGTTGCAATTTCTGTTGAACTTGAAGGTTTCACTTTTGGAGCAGGAGCTTCTTTCTTGTTCAGCACCGCCTCAGTTCATGTTGATGTAAATCTGGCTTCGCTGTGGACAGACTGGTCCAGCAGTTCATGACAGGCCTGAGCCTAGGTGGTTCCTGAACATCTAAACCAAATTTATTTGTTCTGAGGGAGATCAATGAAGATTAACCAATCCAATAAGAGCTACCAAACAAATTTATGAATGCCGGCAAAGAAAAACAACCAGCTGCAGTCAATCATGATCACTAACAACAAGTTAAAAGACTTGTCAAAAAAAAAAAAAAAACACTCTTAAACCTTCAGCACCACTTGTTATCAGATTTAGGTGAATGTGTGTATTTTTTAAAATCTTTGTGTGTACAATTTAAAATCTGTGTGGATTACCGTATTTTCCAGCGTATAAGTCACAGTTTTTTTCCTTAGATTTGTCAGTCCTGCGACGTATAACGGCGAAGCGACTTGTATACTTTTTTTAAAATGTCCATATTCATAAGGCAATTTTTGACTTTAAATTTCTAAAAACTGCACCAGCGAGTCCTCCCATACCCGCTCGCTTCACTCAACTGGTGCAGGCGGAGGAACGCTGGAGAGCTTGCCGCTCCGGCCATGATGGATGGATGGAGCCACGCTGCCCAGGCGAAGTGAAGCTGTTTTGACCATTAAATAAACACATAATAAACACATAATAAACAGTGCATCAGCAGTGACGCATAATAAATGTGACTTATACACCGAAGCACCTTATATATGTTTTTTTCCTCTTCATGATGCTTTTTTTTTTTGACTGATGCGACTTATACTCCGGAGCGACATATACAATGGAAAACAGTAGAGAAAATCCAAAATAAATTCAAACTTGTGCACCAACGTCTAGTTTAAAAAATAAAAAAAATCACAGAAGCTGTATGTTGTATAAATAACTAACACTCGGAATGAATCATTAGAAGCTCTGATTTAACATGACCTTCGCGCCCATGATGAGTGGCTGTAAACCCCCTGACCACAGCTGCATAATGAATCTTTATCTCCTGCAGAACGACGAAGGAGGACAGAAATCTCTGGTGAATCGCTGGACGACGTTCCTGAAGGCTCGTCTCATCTGCTCCGTGATAGGAGCTGACGGCGTCGAGACGCCGTTCGATGAACTAAGTAATATCAAAGGAATTTGAACCTGATTGTATCTTCGACTTGTTTTCTTCCACTGCAGAGTGAATAATCTGCAGATCGTTCTGTTTTCAGGGGATGTTTTTATCCAGCCAACACAAGACGAGCGAAACCCCATGGTGTACGCTCTCTTCACCACGGCGGGGTGAGTCATGCTGTGGAGCTTTGATTTTTTTTTACTCCATCTCAGCGGCTCACACCTTATCATTCACACATTCTTGTGGTTAATTTATTTTTCACTTTCACTCATTTGGTGCGAGCTCCTACTTTTCCCTTCTCACCCTGATGGTTTTTGTTGAAGCTCTGTGTTCAAGGGCTCAGCAGTCTGCGTGTACTCCATGGCTGACATTCGCAACGTCTTCAATGGACCGTTTGCCCACAAACATGGCCATAACTACCAGTGGACGGAGTATACTGGCAAGATTCCTTATCCGAGGCCAGGAACTGTAAGTATTAATCCTCGGGTGGACGCAATCAGATCATCTCCAAACTCCTCAGTGAACAGAGGAACTTACAATTCTCTTTCTTGCCATTCAGTGTCCAGGAGGAACCTTCACTCCTGGCATCCGGTCCTCCAAGAACTTCTCAGATGAAGCTGTGAACTTCATCCGAGCCCATCCCCTCATGTTTCATCCAGTTTATCCTATCCACCGTCGCCCCCTGGTGGTGAGAACCGGCGTGGACTACAGGTACACCGCGCTGGTGGTGGATCAGGTGGACGCTGTGGACGGGCGTTATGAAGTGCTGTTTCTGGGCACAGGTGAGAAAGCTGTAAAACATCTGGCAAGACTGGTCGAAGCATTTGGTTTAACCAGGAAAGTGACTGTTAACCACGTTTGTCTGACATCCTGATGCATGTTTGACCTTTAGACCGAGGCACTGTGCAAAAAGTCATTGTTTTGCCCAAAGACCCAACAAGCATGGAAGAACTGACCCTTGAGGAGGTGGAAGTTTTTCGGGTATGTCTCCACAAGTGCTTGAATACCTTTGGACACGATGATCGCAACAACAAAACTTAAATCTTGCTGTTCATGACTTACAGACCAGAGCTTCAGTCAAAACAATGAAGCTTTCGTCTAAAAGAGTAAGCATGTTTTTTTTTTCCTTCCTGGAAAATTGTAGCGCATGCGCTGAAATCATAGTTGACTTTGTTTTGTTTGTGTTGCCACAGCAACAGCTGTACGTGTCATCAGACGCTGGGCTGACCCAGGTGTCGCTGCACCGCTGCGGCGTGTACGGCAGGGCCTGTTCGGACTGCTGCCTGGCACGGGACCCCTACTGCGCCTGGGATGGAGAGAGCTGCTCTGCTTTCACCCCAACAACCAAACGGTGGGGGAGGCCGCCTTATTTCATCCCAGTGTGCCACTCCCTCACTGCTCTACTAAAATGTAAACTTTGAATTTCGTGTCAGGAGGAGCAGAAGACAGGACGTTAAACATGGTGATCCGTTGAGACAGTGCAGAGGGTTCAATGCCAAAGGTAGGAGGGCGGTTTTAGTTCAGCATCACACGCTTTAAAGTTCTTGGGAGCAGTTTTCATTGTTTTTCTTTTTTTATTCGTGCAGTGGAGAAACGCTTAAGAGAGACAATGCAGTTTGGGGTGGAGGGCAGCAGCACCTTCTTGGAGTGTCAGCCTCGCTCCCCTCAAGCCACCGTCAAGTGGCTCTTCCAGAGGGAGGGAAAGAGGAAAGTGGTGAGAGAAAGCCTAGTTTACCAAAATGTGTTGTTCTGGGAACTCCAGAAAGCTTGAGACATGTCTCATCACTGGTATCTGCAGCAGATTACAGTTATATTTTATATTTATTTTGTTGTTGAGGCTGCCAATGCACATACACTGAAGCACCATTATTACTATTTACTCATTATTCTTTAGTTTCTGTCACATTTCTTTGATTTCATATTCATCATACAGATTTAAAAAAACATGCAAAAAAATGGTGTTCACTCACTTGAGGAGGTAAAGTGCGTTGTAACGTTTGGCAACAGTATAGGCAAAGTTTGCAAAAATAAATACAAAATATTTCTACAAACACAACAAAATTGTTTCATTTGGAATCTATATCCATCCATCCATCCATCTATCCATCATCTTTACCTGCTTCTTCCTTTTCGGGCCACTGGTGCCCATATCCAGCCGTCACTGTGTAAGAGGCGAGGACACCCTGGACATGTCTCCAGTCCATCACAGTGACAAAAAACCATTCACTCTCTCACCTAGGGACAATTTAGAGTTACCAATCAGTCTAACATGCATGTTTTTGGTCTGTGGGAGGAAATCGGAGAAAACTCACACGTGCATGGAGAGAACATGCAAACTCTACCCAGAAAGTTCCCTGGCCGGGATTTGATCTGGCAACCTTCTCACTGAGAAGCAACAGTTCTACCAACTGAGTCACTGTGCCGCCCTGGAACTCTAGATCTGGGCATATTTCATATGAATAAAAAACATATTTGGGGCGGCTGTGGCTGAGTGGTTAGTTGTCCTCCAACGGGAGAGTTGGGGGTTCGATTCCACCAGCAGTCACATGTTGACGTGTCCCTGGGCAAGACACTGAACCCCTCATTGCCTCTGATCTGTGTTCCTTCGGTGTATGAACGTGATCTAAAGATCTGATTAGTCTCTACAGATTCAGATTAACTTTGTAGAGATCTAGTAGAGTGCTGTATGAATGGATAAATGAAGACATAGATTGTGTTGTAAAGAGCTTTGAGTGTCTTAATTAGATAGAAAGGTGTTATAGAAGTACAGTCCATTTACCATAATTCAGTGTTTAAATGTGTCACAGGAAGTTGGATTTTACATGACTGCAGACATTTTGCTTTCTTAAACATTTATACATTCATTCAACCTTTATTTATACAGGTTAGTCTCATTGAGCCTCAGGGACTCATTTACAAGAGAGACTTGAATTTTAACAAAGACTGATGACAACAGTGGACAACAACGACAACAATAGACAATCATAAAGGATGCATGCAATTTTATTTTTTACATATGAAAATAAAATGGTAAATGGAAATGTACTGAGGAAAAACAAAAAAACCCAGCTAGATTATGAGGCAGTGTAGAAAACTAAAAACGGGAACGTCTGCATTGGTTCTTACCAGGAACTTAACAGATGTTTGAAGACACTTGGTCGAGAGCTTCAGATCTTTTTGTAAGATATTCCAGGAAACAGGAGCGGAGTAGGAGAAGGACCTTTTGCCAAGTTCAGTCCGCACTGAGTGAACACTGCAGGTAATAATGTCCTGAGAGCGCACGCTGTAGCTGCACTCACGCAGAGACATGTAGGAGGAGATGTATGAAGGCAGCAGACCAAGAAGTGATTTAAAGATGAAAATGTACCAGTGGGAGAGTCTGCGTGAAGTTAATGATGTCCAGTTAACCAGTGAATACAGGGTGCAATGGTGGGTACGATAATCACAGCCAGTTATGAATCTTAGTACACCATGATAGACAGCATCCAACATCTGCAGGGTTCTTGTAGGAGCGTTCATGTAAATAATGTCACCGTAATCAACTGAGGGAAGGAAAGTCACAGATACAAGGTGTTTCCTAGCATTCAGTGTTAGACAGGATCTGTTTCTGAAAAAGAAAACCAGTTTAACTTTCAGTTTCTTTACTAGGTTTTCCACGTGGAGCGAGTCGACCAAGATACCCAAATATTTATAGGAATCAACAAACTCAATAGGGACACCATCTGAGGATAAAATCAGAGGACGAACAGCTGGGACCGACTTCCCGTTTGAAAAAAAGCATTCCTTTGGTTTTGTCGACATTTAGAACAAGTTTGAGACAGAACAAGTCTGACTGGATGATGTCTAAAGCTGATTTCAAAAGCTGGAAAGCCTTAGCAACTGTTTTAGCTCGACTGTAAACAACTGTGTCATCAGCATAGAAATGTAAAGATGCATCAGGGATGCTAAGATCATGATCACAGTTTAGATTTATGATTAGGTTTTGACCACAGAATGTTAAGCTCAAAGTGTGATGACGCCACATCCTAACATATGAGCCATGAAAACTTTCCTTCTTTTTGGCATTTTTTTTAACACAGAAATTTTACACTTCATATACATTTTATATATTAAAATGCAGCTTTCATCCAGTGTGTCTCTCACTGCTGTAGGACATTAGGTAGTCTCTGAAATCCCTGCAGAATGCAGAGTGCACACATCTAGAGTTTTGCATCCCCAGAAATGGAAACAAAGGGTTTTAATTAACTACCGGTAATCATTAAGTATCTCCAACATGCACATTACTTTGTATGAAGCTTCATTTCTATTATCCTCTCTGTGTACGTGTCTTATTAAGGGTGCTGCCAGGGAGTGAAACAAAGATGTGTGGTTACTATGGTGACCCTGATGTGCCACTGGAAGCAGCTTGAACATTTCTGCTGATCTTGGCTCTCTTTACACTTCTTATACACTAATGCATCAACACGTCTGCACTTTGTCTGCTTAAATTACTACGAATGTGTACAGATCTGGTGGTGGTTTGAACCCAAAACGCAGGGAGGACTTGGAGAACTCAGGTTAATAGTAAAAAGTTATTTAATGACAATAAACAAAAGGGCTGACATGGCAGCAACGACTTACATGAACCATGAGAGGAAACTAAGGGAGGCAAAACCAGGACGTGGTGCAGAACTGGGTAACAGGAACATGGAGGCATCAAGGTTCATGCACCAGGAACATGGAGCCTTCATGAGACAATGCCCAGATAACAAGGAACTGGAGACGCAGACTTCTACACACACACACACACACACACACACACACACACACACACACACACACACACAC